TTTTTTTTGTTTTAATAGGTTAGAAAATGTGGAAATAAGAACTGCAGCAGGGAAGGCAAAGGTGATAGGAACCACTGCCTGTGTTGTTGGATCCATATTGTTGTCTTCTTACCATGGACACACCATGGACATATTAGAATCCAGCATTCATTGGGAATATGCCGAGAAAATAACTAATTCAAGTTCCAACAACGAGACAAACTTCCTCGGTCTGTTTCTAATCATGCTCAGCTGTGTTGCTTGGGCTGTTGGGTTCATACTACAGGTCCCTGCTTGACCTCAAAACACTTAATTCCTTGCACTTTTACTTCTTCCATTAAATAAATTGTTTTAATCACCAATGATTTTCATTTCTCAGGAACAACTAGGGAATGAGTTTAAAGCGCCTTACACAACAAATGCAGTAATGTGTTTCATGGCGAGCATTGAGTGCACTGTCATTGGTTTCATTTCTGAACATAGAATTTCTGCCTGGTCATTGAGCCCCAGTGTCAGACTTTTTGCATCTTTATACGAGGTATGTTTTACTACCAAGCCAACTACAAATTAATAAAAATGTAAAAATGATTGTGTTATTAGATTTGAGTTGCCTTATCTGATTTGGCACGTAATTTTAGGGAATCGTGTGTAACGGGCTGGCATTTTGCCTAGTGACATGGAGCATAGAAAAGAAAGGACCTTTCTACGTCTCGATGTTCAGTCCTCTGTCGTTGGTGATCGTGGCAATCCTAAGTTCGGCACTGCTACATGAAAAATTATTCATTGGAACGTAAGTATATAATATATACATTGATTATTCAACCATATCTCTAGCATTATCAAAGATATGGCTAATTATATATGCATTGATTCAGTCTTTCAGGGTCTGTTCTGATCGTTGCTGGACTCTACGCTGTCCTGTGGGGAAAAGGTAGAGAGACTGAACGTGAAATCCAGGGATGATGAAATGGAAACAAAGCAAGGTAATCAGGAGGATGACTTAGAACTCTAGGTTGGGAAGATTAATGATCATCCTACCAAGATCGAAGAAAAGCTCGATAGTTACTCCATTAATTTTAAGATAGTCACCCTTCAATCAACTTCAATAACATCTTCTTATCTTTTTTTATGAATTCTATTGCCAAATTGTTAGTGCATGTGTTAAAAAGGCACAACTTTTAAATTTACTTTTTAAAAAAATTAAA